GGGGGAAGAGACACAGCATGTGATTTTCCCTGTGTTTTATTTTATTTTTAATTTTTTTTAACGTTTATTCATTTTTGAGAGACAGAGAGAGACAGAGCATGAGCAGGGAAGGGGCAGAGAGAGAGGGAGACACAGAATCTGAAGCAGGCTCCAGGCTCTGAGCCGTCAGCACAGAGCCCGACGCGGAGCTCGAACTCACAGACCGCGAGATGGTGACCTGGCTGAAGTCGGACGCTTAACCGACTGCGCCACCCAGGCGCCCCTCATCTTCTGTTTTGCAAAGGGTAATTTTGTCGGTAGCAAGAAGGTCTCCACCAGCTATGTGGGCTCTAACGTAAAGCTGTATTTAAAATCATATTTCTGGGTCCTTTTCCCAATAGAGTTCAATTATCACTTATACTGGAACCGAAATAAAGGTTTGAGAGAAAGGCTCATAATAAAGTCCAATTCATAATTTTCACAGATGTCTAAGAGTAAATCCAAAAGGAGAGTATAATACCTAGGTGATTCTTTGATTTAACCCACAGAACAATCCACCCACGATACAGCTTTTTTATTTCATAACTATCTACAATGACCCACATCCAAAATCGTTTCCGAAAGGTAAGTTTTCTTCTTTATTTGTAAAGATGCTATTTCACCAAAACCACTAATGCCTCCTGAAATCCAATACTATGTGATAAAGACCTAAGACTCTCTCTTTAGATCTCCAATCATGTTTGTTGTGTATCAAAAGAAGTGATTCTTATTTTTGTCCTAATTCAGGTGACCTTGGGCAGGAGCATGCTGGGTCCTCCACAGCCTGGGCAGGCAGGGAGGAGGAGGAAGCAAGATCTGGGAGTGTGTGATGAGGTCTGGGCTCTTTGCAGGGGGCAATCAAGCAATGCACTGCATCCAAAAGGCTTAGTGAGCTTCAGCCCTGTGCTGGCAAGTATCCAAGCGGGAGGGAAGGGGGTAAGGAAGGGAGATCATTCCTCTCTAGTGGTGAGAGCAAGACAGGGGTTCAAGAGGGCAGAGCTTCAAGAGAAATCCAGATGGTCAGCAAGAGTTAGCTGGGGGGTACGTATGCCAGGAACTGGGCATAGAGCTAGAGCCGAGGACTCAAGTCACATCACCAAGTGCCCAAAGGCGATGTTAGGAGGGAGTCTGTGGTAGACCAGTGCATAGAACCCTAGTTCCATGAATAAATCTCCATGATGGGGGGAGCACAGGAGAGGCCAAGAGACAGGGACTGCCATTCACCCCTGGAAGGTTGGATACAAGGTCTCAGGCAGAAAGACTAATTCCTAAGCCCACCCAGGGATGGCAGTATTCGTCCATGCTAGACAACTTACTGGGTTCAACCTATTTTTATGTTTTGAAAATAAGGATATATTTGGGGGTGGGGGTCCTTTGAATGTATTCTTTGACAGTCCATGTTTAAGAAACTGAAATGTGATAAATAACAATGATCGCACTGTTTTCATTACAGAGTAATTTTGACCGTCTTTATTGACTCTTGATTTCCAACCATCATTCCATTCACCCAACCCATATTTTCATACTTTAGTGTTAGTTTTCAAACACATTTCCAGTTAAATGTTAAAAAGCTAGGCAATATACCTTTGAAATTAAATATATTATTATAAACACTGTGTCTTCTCTGTTCAGACACCAAGAATCGGTTACTCATTGAAGTTATTAGGTATGAAATTGTCTACAGAGGCAAGGAGCTATTCACCAGGTCACATCCTTAATGCCGGGGACAGAGCAGAGAAAGCACACAAACGTCTATAGTCGCTCTTGAGAATTTGTAGCATTAACATTTTCAAAAGACTGCCTGTGAAGTATGATAACTTTTTTGCAGTTGATTTAATAAGTCTTTATTGACAAAGTTAGATAATAATTATTATTTTCAGAAGTTTTACGACACAGTCACATGGAACACGTTTTTAGTGATTTTTTTTTCTATTTCGTGAACATAAATCATGTCTAAGCACATATTTTTATATGTCATTTTAGATGTAGGTATATGCTTGATACTCCTGCTTTTTACCTGGCCAATTTCTGCTTGTTCATGACTTGGCTTAGCAGTCCGTTCTTCCATTTAGTCTGACCCACTAACAATAGTTTAAGAGCCCCGCTTTTGAGCTCCCATTGAACTCTGCAAATACCCTTTTCTAATATTCATCATACTGTGTTCTGCTGCCTATCAACCTATCTGTAACTCCTTCCAGACCATAAACACATGAGGGCAGGGACCACTTCTTTGCTGATTCCCCAGCACTTACTAAATGTCTTGCACTAGAGACACAAATATTGGTTTAGGGATGGGTAGATTGAACTGGAAGCAAATAGTCCAGATTGAAGAAAATGCTTGCTAATTAAAATACGTCTGTTATTTGTATTTATCACACTTCTGTAATTATTTAGTCCTCTTTCTCTCTCTCTCCCTCCCTCTCTTTTACACACACACACACACACACACACCCTTAACCTAACCCAGCCTAACCTAACCCACATATTTGAGGGCAGAGACTATGACCTAATGGCACCTAGCACCATTGATAATTTGAGATTGCTATGTTTTAAAACTATAAATGTATACTTTTTCATTCTAAGATTCATGGGATTCTAAAACTGGACACAAACTCAATATGTCATCTAATTTGGTCATACCCTCTGGATCCCCAGACACAGACTACCTATTTGTTTGTTGGTTCTTCTCTTTTTTTAAAGCCCTACCAGGCCGCATCCATTTCAAGTGACACATTACAATAGTTCACACTGTTGACCGTGATCAATTCTATTTTGAGAGTCTCTAAATCTCTGACGCCACAATTTACGCCCAAATGCTCTTGCCCAGGCTTCAGTAGACACAGAGCAGCTGGTCACCATTTTTCTCACTAAGTGCCCTTCATATTCTTGAAGACAGATTCTGTGTCAGTCTCCCCTTAAGATCCTCGTGGCCGTGCTAAATAATCTCGATTGCTTTTATTCTATTTTACTGGTTACTCATGGGTCTAGTTTTCATCTCTCTTATCATCCTACTGGCTGTTCTCTGAAGCTCCTTCACAGGGTGTGGGGGTGCGGGTGGGGCTGAGAACCACACTGACTGGGTTATCAAGCTCTAGGTTTAGAGGTTTAGGCCCCGGGAGAGGAACAAGTCCTACGAGGAGCCAGAGCGAAAGCAAAGACACTGAAGCAAGGATTTCATTTCTTTAAACGCGCCAGCCAGGGGTTCGGAGGTGGAGAGAAGGGCGTCAGTTCTGTGATGCGCGTTTGCTAATCCATCCCACAACTTTGGTGTTTCTGGGAGCAGAAGACGAGAGGCGCTGAGGGAACTGACTCTCGGGGGGGGGGGGGTACCTCCATACGGGGGGCACGGCAAGGAAGTTCAGGCCCCAAGGGAGACGGAAAGCGAAGTCTAGGAAATTGGAGAGAATCGGTGTGGGGGGGGGGGGGTGTAGCACAACAGAGAAGCCCCAGGGGAGAGGTTTCAAGAACTGAGGTCGGGACCGTGGAGGGTGATGGTTAACAAAGCTGCATGTCACAGATTAATACTTACGATGATTGAAGTGAAATGCCTGAATTTGGCAGGAAGAAAGCAATTTGTGGCCTAAAGGAGAAGAATGTCTAGCAGAGTAATGGGGTGAAAGTCAGATTTAAAAGCAAGAGGGTGGGGAAACGGAGACAGCCAGTCTGCAAACCAGTGTTTTCCCTCAAAATTCTTAGATTTGAACTGGACTCACATTTATTGAATGCCTATTATGTGCCTGAAACACCTTAGGTATTTTCACACGAGATGCCTTCTTTAATCCGCACAGGGCAAGACTAGTTTTAAACCTAGTGTAGAAAACTGTATTTCCATTACTTAAAATACCCTGTAGGGAAAAATATACTGGTTCTTTTAGGCAACTTTCTTTTTTTTTTTTTTTTAATTTTTTTTTTCAACGTTTTTTATTTATTTCTGGGACAGAGAGAGACAAAGCATGAACGGGGGAAGGGCAGAGAGAGAGGGAGACACAGAATCAGAAACAGGCTCCAGGCTCCGAGCCATCAGCCCAGAGCCCGACGCGGGGCTCGAACTCACGGACCGCGAGATCGTGACCTGGCTGAAGTCGGACGCTTAACCGACTGCACCACCCAGGCGCCCCAATAGGCAACTTTCTACATGAGGTCTCTCTCAGTCTGCAAAAAGCAAACGTGCTTACTTAGGGTCTTATTAGGGTAGCTTCAGCAGCATAAGGGGAATACACATGGGGGATAGACACACATGGGGGGGAGAAATGAATTTTCTAAAAAGCGGGAGGGAGGCATGAAGTAAAAGCCAGGTTGACTCAGAGGCTGTCAGGGAAGGAAAATTCTAGTTGTAGTGTATCTCGTCTTGGGGGCTGTAGCTTCTGAGTGTCAGCAAGCTTCAGGGACTGTCTCTTTCTTTGGAAAACCGGTGCAAAGGGAGTTAGGTCGTTCCAAAGGTCTAGAGTAATTAAAGGAAAAATAAAGACATCTATTTAATTGATGCTAAGCAAGGTGTATACATAAGACAAAACATCCT